TGTGATTAGCATTTAGTGAATGTTATTGTATTCAACTATACCTTAAGCTGAGGTATAATTTGTTTTTTTGTGAACAGAGAGAATAGTGGCATAGAGTGTATGCTTATAGTGAATATTGTTGTTGATTGGGATGTATATGTGGGTCGTCTAAACATTAGTTGCTGTCCTCCTTATTAGAAGAGCTGGCATTCGTTGTATTACTTCCTTTGGTGGCAGTGGTATAGACTGTGGTATAGGCTTTGATACAGTATATGAGGACTGGAATGTATGCGTGAGTCTCATCTGTCGACCCACTGACCCAACACTCGCTCAACGACTCGTAACTCTTCAACACATTAGAGGAAGAAAGCGAATCCAAACCATACTTCCATACGCTTTCTCTCTTCGAGATTCGCATAACACTCTCTCCTATAGTTTTGTTATACACTTTCTAAACGAGTGTCTGTTTGTGTTAAGTCGTGACATGTGAGGGAGGAATCGATAGTCAGAGACTCACTCTCCCAACCACTCAATTACTATCTTCTTTCAGACCAGTCTTTCATTGAAACCACTATTGATTCCGATTGAAAGCAAATCCACTTTCAATTGCATTCAATACATCGATTCAATAGTTTGCTATTAATTTGAATATAAGTTTTCAAATTAAACGCAACCGAAAGAAAGAAATTCTTCAAAATCTTAATCAACAAAAATGTGATTTCAAGTCAACTAAACTTTTTGATGCTTTTCTTCTACTTTTAGCTGAAATCCTATTTTAAAAGTTATGGTAAGAATATTAATAATTTTTAATTCATTTTCGCTTTTCTTTATTAAACAATCATTATTACAGCGAAAGTATTATTTTTGGCTTATAATCGGGTTATTTATAGAAACTTCTATTTTCTCTTTCTTTAATTGTAACAAATATTATATATTCGCTGAGTTCACAGCTTTTCAAAAATACAATCTCATTGTTTTAATAATTGTGGGATAAATACTTTAAATAATGTTTAATAATTGCATTAAAAATATTTCACGCAAAAGCGTTGCTAACATTATTATAGCGTTAATTATCTTATGAATTAATCCCTAAGTTTACTGACAGTCATTCTGTGTGTCAAATAATAGCGGTCTATATTTAGGATAATTATAGTTTTTTAAATAAAATGGTAAAAAGTATTTCATTAAATGTATTTAACATTTATTAATTTTACAAATTGAATCGAAAAGAAAGTTTCAGTTTTGAAAATAAAATACACCTTTTCTTGCAATTAATCAACATTTTTAATATACTTTTTTGACAGAATATCAGAAGGAATTTACATTCATGTTGTTCTTCAACATTGATTACAATTGTGTTAATTTTATACAATTTGTCACTAATATGTGATTCAAAGCAAACAAACACTGCACTAGACTTAGACATGATGTATAGCGACACGAGTCACGAGCCGACGGCGGCCGCAGCTCATCAACAGGTAGTGTTCATAGATCACGGCGGGGGTGCCATCAGTCACATCAGACGCACGTCATACCTGCCCAACCCGTCGTTGCCTTCTGTGCCATCCCTTCCCTTCCGCTCTCACGTCAATCACTACCCGAACTCCTTATATGAGAACAACTTTGCCGACGAGCCGTATGTCAATGCCTTTCCCGATGATATACCTCGCATTCACGACAGACATAATACTCCCACCAATACTCCCAACCCTGTCGTCCATCAACACCACAACCCATCCCCGTATCCCTTCATCGGACACGACCC